GGAAGCATGCCTAAATTTGTTGTCTACCTTTATCAATTATTTTTGGTTAGATTTGAATGACAGCAGACAGAAGGTTGCATGGCCTCATCAGTCACATAGTAACAGGCTTTTTCAAAGAAAAACCTTGAATTTTACAGAGTCTTATTCTATATTTTCTATTTGTTTTACATACTAACTGCTGTAGAATAATAGCTTGAGAATTTGAAAAGAAATATTAATTAAATAATAACAGTTAACAGTAAAAGTGCTACGTATTTTTATTTTACTTTAAATGAAAGTTTTCACTTGGAAAGACTCTCAAATTATCTTGATGTTATATGAATTTTCTTTTTGTCAGGGCAAATCTAGAATGTCAAGAGTTTAATTTTTTTTTTATCGTCATTAGCAACAGCAGCAGAACCATCTTATTAATATATATTTTAAGTGTTGCTTAAGTTTCAGATGCTATACTTTTGTTATTTTATCCCAGAACATAAACTTTTAAACTTTACTATAGAATAAAACAAATAAAATTGAGTTCCTAATTTATTTTACCATTTTTGGCATTTTACTTTTTGTTACAGAGTACCAATTTGTAAAAAGTATTTTTAATATATAAAAATTACTTTCCTTTTGTCTGGAAAAAAAGTAGTTTCAACTAATTAAAACATTCTGTAAAGAATGTTGGATACATTAATATATTGTTTGTTCTGAATGTTTTTTTATTTTGTTTTTTTTCTGAGAGCAATGTTTTTTTAAGACTTGAGACTTGCACTTTTAAACCCAAAAGCTAGCGGTTGCAGCAAAAATGTTACTTTGTTTAATTTTGGCTTAAAATATATTAATTTTATTTTCTGATAATATACATTGTCAATAGTTTCTAGGATATAATCACAAATCCTATAGCTCTTAATCTTCTTTATTACTAAACCATACTAGTAAGTGTATGTAGGTATTTACCCCATCTCCCCACTGAGACATGATATGACACAAGGTCGGGTTTAATGTGGGGCACCTGAGCACATACACCCGGTAAGTGTCTATATGCCTTTAAATGAATGGGATAACTTTAAACCAAAACTCATATTGTCACTAACTTTAGTTTTCTACAGTTGTATTGGACATAATACTTTAATAACCACCACCCCTTTCCTTAGTTTTATAGACACTAATTATGACACCAGTGTCAATCATAACTTTTTAATAACAAATGTATAAAAAAAAATACTAATTTAAAATAATAATGTTTATAATCTGTTCAAATGAATGTTTTACTTATTTACATAGATTGTAAAAAAAGAAAAAATAAGTAAAACACTTTGTATATACATTAATGGTCCTCACCTTTTCTTTTGCCCTCTTATTTGTTTTTGATTTTTGTTCATGTTTTATGCGTATGTGAATAAGATAAACGTTTAGATGAATCATTTAGTTAAATAGCTGCAAGAGTTATGTTGGCAACAGTCGTAGTAGTAAGACCAGAGAATGCTGACTGCAAATACTGCAGGTGACTCATGTAGTGTGTAGCCTAAGAACACACATGCTTCTCTAGGAAGTGATTGTTGGATGCAAAGGAAAAAGTCATTAAACCTTGCTGGAATTAAGTTATAATATCTTGGATTACAGTCACAGTAGAAGCAGCAGCAGCAGCAACCCTTTGTATAATCAAGTTTTGGGAACAAAAAAAAGGAAAGAAAAAAAAAGTAAAGCTCACTGTATTTCTTACTCTTTATTTCTTGTACTTTTCACTTAGAGCAAACATACAGCATGTCAGTAGTTATGAACAGAATTATAAACTATCTTATAGAATACTTATTGAGAAACTGATTTTACCATTGATAAGAAATGTACTTGATTTTTTTTTTCTTTCTTCAGATAGTTATGATAGTATAAAATTTTGACTGTTTTTGGAAACAGATTTTACCATTTTTCACTTTATACTGATCAGTTTAAATTACTCCTAAAACTTAATATTTTGCTAAAATTCAGTATAATTTTCTTACATAAGATTTGAATTGATTTTATAAATGTGTATTTATTTTGTTTTATTTTCTTAATTCATGTATCTTTCGGTAATTTGCCTGTATTTCCTACTGGTAGTAACCTTTTAGTACCTTGCAATTAGATTTAGTTTCTTTTTTCTATATGTGTGGCAAGCAGTAATAACTTAATTACCAACACAATTTATTCAATGCAATTATACTGATTAACACAAATTTGCATTGTCTTTTTAATTTTATTCATGTGGAAGCAAATTTTCATTATTGAATTGATATACAGGTAGATATATTTAATATTGAAAACAAACTTTAAGTATTTTTAGAATTAAATTTATAGTGTAATTATTTGACATAATATTTTATTTTTACAGTTTTTATTCAGTGTTTATTATATTTTATGCTTATTGCATTAATGGACTCTTTTTTTAATTTTTTTTAAAATAAGATTGTTGATGACAAAAGTATTATCTCCATGACATTTTTTTTTATAATTGTTACTTTATCATTTTTATATCTTATAGTGAAAGAATATTTAATGATAAGTTACAAATCTCAAAGACCATTACTACTGTTAGATTCTCACAGAATATCTCATACTTTTGGTTTTGTGAAGGTTAGTTAAATCTTGTTAAATCTTTAATGAATTTTGCGCGAGTTTAATATTGCATAGTTGTCTCCCTTATTCTTGTTGAATTCCATTTTGCAAACTCAACTTTAAAATATTTAAATTCATTAAGTCATTTTCTTTGGAATCCTAAGAAAATAAATTTTCTAGTCTATTAAACAAATATGTTATAAATGATGTTTATTAGAAATATTTTTAAATATTTTTATTGATCTTATAATATTCAGCCACTGAAAAGTTAATTTTGCAAAGAGTTTATTTAATTAAAGATATTATGTTTTTATAAGAAAAATATATTTAAATTAATATGAATAAAAATATATTTTTTGTTCATTTATTTGTTTATATTGCTACCAATTCATTTCAAACCTGATTGAGCAATATGAAAAAAACTTTGTCATAAAAGCAATCAAGAAAGTCTAATTTTATTATTGTAATTTTATTATTATACTTATTGGATTTTGTATGCAATCAGAACAGTGGGAACTGAACTTAATACAAGAAAACAGATAACTAGAAAATCAACTTCATTATACTATGAAGCCAAGAAAATGATTGTTTCTGTACTAAATTGAAAATATGTCAATATATCTCTTTATTTAGAATGAACTTTGTAGCTATTATTAGACATTGAAAGTAATGTCTCTTTATGCACATTAATTTCTCTTTTTGAGTAACATTCTCATCTTTGTTTTCTATTTTATTTCATATCTTCTATGAAGAGCTGTAATATTTTCTGGTATAGTAATTCTATCCCAAGTGCGTGTCATAAAGGCTTGAAGTTGATTTGAAATTTTCCCATTGGAAATATTGCTTTAATGACCCAGTGTGAATATTATTGTAAAGAAATGAATAAATATACAATGCATTCTCTGGTGAGAATGTATTGTATATTTATACATAAAATATAAACTTTCTAAACACTTGATACTTGTATTTGTCGAGTTTTGCATTTAAATATTCATAATAATAAATTAAAGTGGGTCTTCTGTTCATATGTCATGTGTTCTTCCCTACTGATTGTTTATGAAGTATGTAAACAACTACTAACAGAGAAATTCAACTTTTGGCAGTTAAATTTTAAAAGGGAGGAAAAGTTTATATGATGGAATCTTTGACTATTTGTTATTTTAAAACTTTCATAATACTGATATGTTCCTTCCTTATTAGTATATTGAAATCTCCACTTATATAAAATATATTGTGTTTCTATATACAAATAATTTGTTTGCTTGTGCCTATATGAAACACTTTTCACAGATGGCCAAATAATGACATTTTGATCCATAACAGAACACACAAATATTCTGATCCTGGACATAAATGCTAATCCATATGTAAATAATTCTTTCATTTTCTATAGATATCCATATAAGTAATAAAACAACTACTGTGAAGCAAGAGTCTAGCTTGATTTTTCTTTTACTTTTTTTTTTTTTTTGACAAAAGCTTAGTGCTTTAGATAGAACCTCATTTTCATCATTATAACGCTTTGTTATTATTCTGTACTTACACATAATACACTTATATATGCTATTATTGCCATTTATGTGGCTAAGAAGCACAATGATTTTATTTATTCAAAATATTAGACAAATTTCTTTGATATGATTTATAAAAAAATTATTTGGAAATAGTGTCTTTAAAAATATAAATTTTGACTCTAATGCATTAATGTCACAAAAGGTATTTGATGATAAAATACATAAACAAATTCAGCAATAAAATAGCAATCAGGTACCTGTAAGTTTTGAAAACTGCCTTTAAAAACCTATGTATTATGTGTAGGCAAATTAACCTGTTTGTTATTGCTTATAGTTAGGTATATGTCATCCTTAAATAGACTATTGAATTAAAAAGGATCATTTGCTGAATTGATTCATTGCTAACTTGTGCATCATTGGAATGTGGTCTATATGTATAAGTAGTTTTCTTTATCTATCATTATTAAAAGAAATGATTTTACCACTAATTTTCCATTTTTTAATTTTGACATTTTTTGTTCATTAAGAACTCTTTTTATCCCTCCAAACAATAGTACCTTGCTTAACAGTTACACCTATTTATCAAACTCTACTATTATATACAGAGTCAAAAGAGGTTGTTTATATTTATCTGGCAATATTATTCTGAAGTTGTGAAGGAAATCACCTTATGTTTTTTCAATTCTTTCATACCTGTAATGATTTTCATCTAGCAACAAATAGTTTTACTTCCTAAACAAGATCCAAAAATGAAATTTTGCTTTTCCCTCATTTTAATTTTATTTTTGTTATGGCTTGTGTGTGTGTATATATATATTATTTTTTCTTTTCTTCAGTTAACTGGTAGCCTGTCAAGGGCTGTATGATGTCAGACATCCACTTGTCCTGCCTGCTGCTGCTTTTTTTAGCAAGATGATGAAGAAGATTAAGAGACGACTCTCTCTTACCATCAGAGGGAGGCATCCCATTGATGAAAGTTTGTCTGAACTTGCCGAAACGCTTTCTTATGAAGACAATGGAAGCATTAAGGAAAATGGTAAATGTACTATACATTCAATATTTTTTTGTTAATAAAAAAAGCTAATGTTCTGATCAGATAGCATTTACCATATAAGTTATATAAGTTTACATTTCAACTACAAAAACATTAGTCCATTTAGGTCCTTTGAACATGATAGTCTAATGGAATTAGCTTAAAAAAAGTCTATACCTGAATGAATATCTCTCAGAATGTTAGGAGTTAGCTTATACACACCAGCATATATAATATAGATGATAATGTCTATGTATACATCTACATACACATTTTCTAGTAATAAAAATGTGACACTCCACTGTATAAAACAATTTACTGAGTAACCATTCTAATAAGGTTATAAAACTGTTTCAAAGTATTAATATTTTGAGATTTAATTAAAGTAAAAACTGAAATGAATTCTTTTGAATTTTTATGATGATTGAGTTATCTTGAATATTGTCATTGCACTTTAGTATAAAATATGATAATCCTGCCATGATTACAAGTCATATGACTGGTTAAGTATTGGAAATTGGTTTACCTTATTTGCTTATATTTACTATCACTTTGATAAAAAAAAAAAACTACTGAAAGTTTAAGTAACACTTAAATGTGTTATCATTCAAACACACTTGGTGCAAATTTCTTAGTTTTGATTTGAACAACAATTACCAAACCAGTGAAAAAGAATTGGTTTCTTCAACTAAACCATAATGCTTAACATTTTTTGTTCAATTTTAGATTTTACAATTTGTTCATCCACTTGTTTGTTTTATGAAATATTGGAGAAACCAAACTTCTTATAAAGAATTTCAAGAGTCATTATGCACACCTATGTGAATAGCAATTACATTTTCAAATTGATTCTAGGTTTTAACTGAGCTCAATAAAAATGGACAATGATGATGCACCAGATCTAACTAGGATTTGATACATTATATTTTTAGTAATATAATCTATTATATAATTTCAGCAAGTCTTATTAATATAGAATTGATTTGAAGAACACATGATTTATAGCTGTAGAAAAACGTTTTTATTCTGAAGTTCTGTTTGTTTAAATCAGTGAGTTTCAGAAATTTTAGTGTCAATACTTTATATATTTTGTGGCTTCCATTCAAATGTTATAAACATTTACATATGTTTATTAAATACATAGTTGCTCTTAATTTTTCTCAGTGTGATGAATATTACTTTTAACTGTACTGTAATTTGTGATTATTATCCATTCATTATTCCATGCTATTCCATATGTATGTTTATAAGAGCAGTGGCAAACTACTACTTTTAAATACCTTGAAAAAGCATAAGAATTGTCATGGATTATGCATTTTGATAGATTCCAGAAGTAGCAATTGTTTGTAATACTTTTATGTTATTAAAAATTAATTAGCCTGTTAATGCCCACCACCTCCCATTAATAATTACAATTTTTTTTAGAAACTCATAATTAATACTGGATTTTTATTTTAATTTTATATTTAATACTAGATATTTTTACAGTGCTCTCTAGTGAGTTAATGACTTCAACATTTAAAAATGCCACCAAAACAATTAAACTTTTTATTGTACTTTTTAAGAAAAAAATACTATGCAATAAAAGTGGATGTTCAAGAAATTTCCAACACCATCTTTTACACAATATTAAGGAAATGTTAGCGGTTTCCTTTGAAATTTAATCAGCTCTTTGTGCATGAGCACAGAAAGGTGATAACTTTACTTTATTTTAGTATAAATCATAGCTAAATATAGAATGCACATTGAAAAAATGTTTTCCATTTTCTTTATTTTGGAAAAAATGCAGCTAAAACTAGATAATGGATTACTGAAACTAGTGGTAATTATGGAGTTGATACAAGCATATATCTTCAATAGTTTAAGTTTAAAAAAGGTACTAAGCTAAGGGCAAAATATGTGCTGTAAAACTTTAGAATTTGTAAAGTGAAGTGGAAGAATTCTGATGATGCAATACAAACAACACTTGAACTTACAGAAAAGCTAGAGGTTAATTGGTGAAGTCATTTAAATCTTATAAATTTTTTTCTGAACAAAAAATCATCAGGTGATTTTCACAGTATAGTAAAAGGCAAACATTTGTTATTGAAATAAGAACTGTAATTTTGGAACTGGACAACTACTCATTCCTTCAAATTATTGATCCAACTCGTATTGTAAACATTTTAAAAAAATCAAGTTTTGATAAAGAGAAAAAAATTATCTTTTATGCTTTACATTATTGATACCAAAATTAAAAATGTAAAAAATAAATATTTGTTGGTGCTACATGTTTTTCAAAACCCTAATTTTTAGACATTATATAAAAGATTAAATATCCAATATCAGTTAGATTATTATATTTTTTATAATGCCATATTCTATTAAGAAAAGGTTTAAAAAATATCTTGTATCATCATTTCTTATGTAAAGGAAAAATTGAATGTCTTGATTCTCTTGTATTATATAAATTTCAGGTGTTAGATTTTCTGTGATTTTTTGCTATTTTACTATGTATTATCCACTTCCATTTCAGCAGGCAATATTTTGGAACTTTCAAATTGATGAAATATGTATAAATGTTTTCCATTTTCAACTTTTTTTCTTTCTTTACAAGCAATATACCATCTGCCAAAATATCATTCATAATCATCTTTTCTGTTGATCTTTACATATCTGAAACTTGTTGCAGTATATTAAGAACAAGGCTTTTTAATTTTTAAGCCAAATTTGACATATTTTTCTACTTTATTACTTGGATATGGAATCATTTACAAATAACATTTATAAGAGAAATTTTTATTTTGAGATCTTATTCATGACAGGAATTTTCAAGATCACAAGAGCAAAGATTAATGAAGAAAACTTGCCCTTTTAAAAAAATCCTTCAGATCAATCAATCTCTCTCTCTCTTTTTTTTTTTTTTTTTTTTTTTTTAAATAAAAATATTCTCATGATTAAATTCTGAATGTTTCTTTAGAAATTGCTACAGCAACATAATTAATGAATATAAAATGGCCTATTTTCTTAAATATATATTCTCAGCACAATATCCTTGCATTATTTATTTGTACTTTCTGTAAATCTCTAATAGTTTTATTTCAGGCGTTAATGCAAGATGTACTTGACAAAAGCCTACCATGAGTTTTCCTAAAACAATTACCATAACTCAAACAAGCTAACTCTAACCTCACCAGTTATCTCCCTTGTTCAGTCTTCCACCATAGTGTTTTTGACATGCAATGATAAGCTATTGCTTTTCAATTGACCTTCATACATTGTTTTTTTTATTCTTTTTTTTTCAATTTTATCAGATAAATTTCCCTTTTTTTGCTTTATTGAATTGCTCAGTTAACATTTTCTTTGTATAGAAACTATGATTTCAATTATGCCCTGGTTACTTTGAGTCCAAGTTATATCTGCATTAAGTAAATATGTGGAGGTAGGCTTCAAACTTAATATATTACCAATAGTATTTACTAGTTGAACTGTAAGTTCTTTGTAAAAAAAAAAAATCCTTAACCCATTTAATGCTAATATTTTTTTTTAGTAATATGAAGTCACCGAAACATTTCACTTCTATGTATTTTTTTAATAACTTTTTTTAATTTGTTATTCATTTCATAATTTTGTACTGTTCTATTGCTTTTATTGATTGAGAAAATACACAAAGGCTCTAACTTCACTGGATGTTTGCAGGTATTAAGTTTACTTTGGTATAAACTTTACATACTAATTAATTTGCTTAAACCTTGAAATTGTTTTAAAATATTCTGACTCTAATATTTTTATGGTGATTGCAATCAAACCTGCTTAATATTAACCCCTAAATAACTATTCCTCTTTTTCTGTGTCTCATATAAACTCCTATCATACACGCGAGATTTATTTACCAATGAATAATACTGTTTCTGCTACTTTGCATAATTACGATAAACTTCTGGATGTGGTGCTAATGAAATTGTAACTTGGGTAAAAATAACTTGGATTTTCTTATTTTTAAACAGTAAATCTGTTTAAAAATAAGAAGAAAATCCACTTTCAATAATCATTACAATGATGATGGTAATCTGTGTCTTTTGAGTTATTGTGTCATAATCTTTATATTGACTATTTTGCATGTCTGTTTTAATTTTATCACATTGATGTCTGATCAATGTAGTCTGCCATCTCTCATAATAGGCACCAAAAGTTCAATATTGATTATAAAACTGATTCACTAATTTTAATAATTTTCATTACACAAAAGATTAACATAAAATTGTTTCATATATAAGTTATGTTATTAGATCATGTGATGCATTTTGAATTCTTTTCATCACCTATATTCTATAGTGTGTGCAAACATTAGTCTTTGAAGAATATTAATCTCCTTTTGAATATAATGCTCCTTTTGATTTATTGGCTGTTGAGATGGAACTTTAGGATCAACTGGGAATCAAGATATGGCTTTTATTCACTATTGTCTTGAATTTTTATTGCTAAAGCATCTTAGTCAATGCATTATTTACTAACTATCAACCAATATGAAGTGAATGATTCGCCAACTGGTATTATGCAAATTTACTTTATACTGTATCACTTTGTAATCAAGAGTTTACAAACCTGTACTGAAAAATTGATATTCTTGCTACATTTAAAAATTTAAAAAGCCTTAAAATTTTAGCTTAAAATTAAACAGCTCTAATAAAATTTAGGTAGAATTATGAGATATGTAGATAATCTGTATGATTAAATGTTATACACAATACTTGTGTATGTCATCTTTTTCATTCAATTTGTACTTTATGATCAAGAATAGCATTGAATGTTTTGTAAGTTCAGTGTTAGTTTTAAAATATAAACTTTTTGTCTGAAAAATAATGGTTCAATTACTGTATATTGAACCATTATCAATAAACAACACATTTTTATATACATAGATTCTAAAAAACAAATTGTATGGATAACAAACTGTGGCTGGTAACTTCCAATATGGTCTCTTGTTAAAAGATCACTGATTATTCAGATTATCCTTTACTGTT